AATGGCTGTGAATGTTACCTAACCTTTTAACTCCAGTTACCAATAACCCTGGCTATAAGAATGGCTGTGAATGTTACCTAACCTTTTAACTCCAGTTACCAATAACCCTGGCTATAATAATGGCTATGAATGTTACCTAACCTTTTAACTCCAGTTACCAATAACCCTTTAATTTCAAGAGCAACTATTATCTAATTTCTCCTTATAACATCACTCCTGAATCAAACATAAAGGAAATGATCACCAACTAAAGAAGCTCTTAATTGTTAAACAAATTCTTTCAGCCAGCATGTTAGGAAATATAGAGTATACATGTAGATCAAACAGTATGGAGAATATGTGTTCAGATATTAGGGTGTAAAGGGTTAAAAAATCAGGTTTAGTCCACTCAACAATAATGCAGAGTTAGATGTACAGGAAGCAACTATTAAGGATTTATCAAGTAAACATGGGGATAGTGTTTGGATATTATGATCTCCTTTAAGGGAAAAATTACAGGAACTTTTTGGGAATATTTTTCTTTCATTTGGTACAAGAGGGCTTAAAACTAGAGATTTTATGGCAATATTGTTGGTAAATCCTTAAGGCCCGGCCAAACAATAAATGTTGGACGATCCAACATGTTGGGTGAACCAACATTTTATCATTTGGCCACTGTGTTTGATGACCACTCAACAGGTTGGATGATGTTGGAACATGTTTGAAGCAGTATCAAACATTTGATCCAACATCGTCCAACATTTCTTTTGTTCTCATGTTGGACGTGTGAAATTTTGTTCATTTGGCCAGTCTCAACAACATGCTGCATGTGTGCACGTGCATTGTGACTGCAAACTCAGTCATTACCATAGACACCGTTAGCTTGCATTAGTGTAGTTTGAAAACGGCAGCCAGCAAGGAAGCAATGCAGAATATCGCTCAAACTTCTAGCGAAAAAACACCAAAACAAAAAGCAAGATGTTGGAGTGACGAGGAAACTGAGCAATAACTGATCCAACTATTGGAAGAGAATAGATGCTTATGGGAAGTTTTTTGTGCCGAGTATCACCTGAAAGACAACAGAGAACAAACATATTTTTTTATCAATCGGCCGCTAGTTCTCAAACAATATTGGTAAAATAACTACTCTCTTGTCGTCTTTGAATCCATTCTCTTGTTTTCCCTCCTTTACTTGCTCTATCCTCGGTTTCTTCAAGCTTGTCAAGCAGTAATAACACTGATAAACAATGCTTAAATTTCTCTTTCCTCTCCGTCACTCAAACCTCCATGGACATTACAATGTGGTGTGCACTGGGAAATATCCTTACCCACAACCCTATGTGTCCCATGTTTGATCAAACATGTTGAATAGATGTTTGGCATCATTTGGTTCCCCCCCCCTTTAATTTACAACATGTTGGACTGTCCAACATGCAACCAACATGTTGAATCGTCCAACATTCATTGTTTGGCCGGGCCTTTAATCCTTAAAATTACCAAATGTCACAGTTAAACTTGAGTCATACACACCACTCTTTTGGACAAGTTTAGACAATTTCGCCACCACTTCCTCGCACTGATTCTTCCAGCTGAACTTCTTTGTGTAGCCATCCCTCAGTTGCTTTGCTTCTTTGTGGCGAAGTTCTGGGTCTCTATTCCTGACTTGCTTTATCCTGTCAGCCCAAACCTGAGATTCATCAGAGTCCACCACGTGCGAATTTCCGAATAACACAGTCTTAAGAACAATGCCAAGTCCACAGCAATCACTGATCAGAACAGGTAAGTCAGCAGAAATGGCAAGAAGACCACTCATTCCAAATCCTTCATTTCTTGAAGGCTTAATAGCAAGATCCACTTTACACACCAATTTGCGCCAGTCCTCACGGCTTTCAGCAACACACACAGTCAGTTGTCGAGAATCGATCCCCTCTTTTAGCAAAGCCTTTCTAATGTCAGCAGTCTCATTACTGGATTTCACCGCAACAGTCAGATGATAAGATGGCGTGTTCAATAGTTTGATTGCTTTTGCCGCAATATCGCATCCTTTGATGTTAAAATGCCTCAAAGATCCACTTATCAGCACATGGAATGTTGTCCAATCCTTATGCAACTGGTGCGCACCAATAAGGTCTTCACAAATACCTGGCGTAAGGTTGATCACATTTTCCTGTCTTCTTGAGAAGAGTAAAGCACGTCTACAGGATTCTGCAGTCTTTGGACCAATTGCGATAACAGCATCAGCCTTTTCACACATTTTAGTTTGAAGTTTATGCTCATCTTCATACCCAGCTATGTGACATTCTTCATGAAATGAATGCACAACCTGAACCCACTTGCATTTCTTTAAATCCTTTATAACTTGTGCTTGTCGACCCAAGTTTTCTCCATGACAGTGTATGAATAGAATGTCGATATTAAGATTATCAGGTGGGAAAGACAGTAGATCTGCTGATGAAAATCCATCATGGGCCTTAGAATCAACAAGTTGAATATTCAGACTGCTGGCATGTTCTCGTTGTTGTTGGGTGTTATTTGGAACAAAACCAGTCACACAGAGTCTATCATTTCTTCCCAGTTCAATAACTAACTGTCCATTGACAGTTTTGTTCCAGCCATCAACATCTGAAGCCAAAGTAACATTCAGTTTTGAAACTGCAAATTGAACAAAAACATTACAAGAAATGATTAACAAAACTCAGATAACTTTGAGTTCATCTCAACTCAAAGGTTTTTTTTAGATATCACGGGAACTTCACTCCTACATTTTTGTAGCAAACACATAATAATTTTACCCCACACAAAACTGGGTGACTGTATTTCCTCTATCACAGAGATTTTAGATTTATTACCCCTATTAATAACTTTCTTTCAGATGGAATTAAATTTAACTTTGAAGAGGACTGAAACTTACACATACCTAGACATTATACATTCAGACAAGCAAGTGGCATTTACTGTAGGGATTAATTTGATCTATCATAAATTAGTATGCAACAAAGGGGGTTGTCAGATCACACTGCCATTAACATTCTTAAATTTCAAACCAAGTTATTTTAACCAGCCTTTATATAATAGTGCATGATATTTGCAAACAGTACCTCTCCATCGTGATAATTAAGTTCACGAATACATGATGCCAGAAAATACATATCAAATTGGCTTATGGCTATTTTGGTCTTAATATATTGCATTCTGTTTTAAGCTGTGTTTCTTAATGTGCAAAGTGTCTACTTGGATCGATCATGATTGGATTGGTATATGCTGAGAAACATTAATTCACTAACCATCGATCACCACTTAGATCGACTGATCATCAATTTTCATCGATTAGTCAGACTAGCCTGAGGAATTCAAGTCATGACATACTATGGCCGTAAATTAGACTTCATGCAAGCATTTAATTTCCAGTTTGCTCATGTACTGCAGTACAAAGAATCCTCCATGACAATTTCTCAAACCCTTCAGCAACTGAAATACTCCTTGGTGGCTACCTCGAAGGTCCGAGGGTACATTAGAGCAAAACTTAATTCCAGTGCAAATGGTCCAGTCACAAAATTGCCAAAATTACAGATCCAAATTGCATCTCCGGTTTGCTAAGAACAAAGATTCTTCAAAGACAATTGTAGTAGCAGTAAAACTTTATTAAAAGTGTCAAGAGCCGTCTAGCTAGGGAAGAATCGCTTACTAATTTGGGGGACACTAAAAAAAGAAAAAAAGATTATAGGAGCTATTTACAGTAGTATATATATTATAACTAAGAGAAAATCTATAGTTAACTAATTACGGGATTTGTAATAAAAATATATAAAATTCAAGAGGAGTAGAGGCTACAGCATGTGCAGCCATCATCCAAGAGCTCACTTATACTGAGTTGGCGTGCGTATCTTGCAAAATATTTCTCAAAGTTTCAGCAATGACCCACTCCTTGATGGTTAAACCCACTTGGGCAGAAGACGATAGCTCACCTGATTTTCCTGCTTCCATACCGAATGATCGATTGTACGGTTACGATCCATTTATTTTGTCCTCAGTGACTCCATCTCATATGCAAGCTTAACCAAAACCTAAATCTACAAAAAGATTATTCATAAATCGTGGGAGCCTAATACGTCCGAACGATTTGCAGCAAAAAGTGCATTATGTAAGACCACTTATAATGTCTTCAATGTAAAGTCATTGAAAACTTCTGACAAAACCTGTTTGCTGCTGTATTTCCATCTGCCACCGTTTTCAGCATTCTTGTTCGTGCTGCTAAAAAAATTATGAACTGGAAATAAGAGGTAGACGCTAGTCCCATAGCAAAGCCCGTTATAGGATGCAAACAGAGTAGGTGATGCTCCACCTCCTAAGCTTGCCCCAACCCACCCCTCCTTAGTGGTAATTCATTACCAGGGTTGCGATGATGGTCACTGACTTATGGTATACTTTCCAATTGAGTGCGATCAAGCCAAGTGCAAATAAATAAAGGTGGAAATCCAGAATAAAGGAAAATCACCAAAGAACACTGACAGAGGAACCAACATCTTGTTCATTGACATTTTGGTGTGTATTACGTTAAACAAATAAAAGTATAATGCATTAAAATTTTTATAAAGAATTAAGCTTATGATAAACATTAAATTTTCACCAAAAAAAGCCCTCTTTTCAATAGAAGTAATGCAAAATTACACACACACATATAGAATGATGTACATCTAGCTGTATATTTAAAAAGAAATCTACAAATCTAAGGCTTTTCTCTTTGAAACTAGTTTCCACTTATTACTTAGAGGATTTTATAATTATTGCACGTTTCTATCCTAAAAATTTCGATGGCAAATATTTCATGAGTTATTGTTACACTATTTCAATCAGAGTTATCTATTTTTAGTATCTAAAAGGCAAGGAGCCACTATGTGGATACCCTTTAAATAAATTGGTTCCCTTCATCAGTACTTACTTCGTACTTGTATATACACGTGTACATAAACTACAAAAAAAAAACAAAAAAAAAACAGCTTCTTAAGAAAAATACAGCCTTAGCTGCTTCAATCAAGAATGATCCGCAGTTGTTCTCATGAAACTGTTATCAGATTTACAAAAACTTCCACATGTGCTTATAGTCAACCTTGGATTGATGACTTAATTCAAAAAGACTAAAATTCCAAATTTAAAAACTAAATGTTTTTCAATCACTGTTCATCAGTGTTTTCCTAACCCCAACACTTGTACATGTAAAAACAGTTTTTGTCCTGGAATTTTTCTCATTGTTCTACTTTCCATGCTAACATTTTTACATTTTCTGATAAGTTTGACAAGAAAACACTCTTCACACATTGCTTTTTCTGCAACAGAAAATATTTTAGTGCCTCGAGTACCAGTACAGTGAATCTAACTGTAGAAAAATTGTAAAAATTTCCCTCCTCCTACTAAATCACCCAAAAGCTACACAGTGTTCATGATTTCTAACTAATTATTAATTTCCGTTTTTTAACCAGTTTTCTAAAATAGTTGCAACATCCCATCTCTCCATATCATCCTCTTTGAGGAAAGTAATAAGCTTCTCTACAGTTGCTTCAGGCTTTGCATACCACAGTTGCAAAAGTTCATAAGTTGGATTCTCCTTCTGTCCTAAATTTGTTATCACATCTTTCGTAAACTTCATTTTCTCTCCCAGCAGGCGGAAATCATTAAAAGACAAGTCTTTTCTTATGTTTAATTTCAGGCAGATTTTACTCAAAATAGAATATGGAATGTCTTCAGCTTTGATAGACTGCCTCATGTTGGTAATTGCAGCCTGATTCCTGTTTGAGTTTTTATCATTTACACCATCCAATGCTGCTCCTGCACTATCCACCTGATCAAATCCATTTCTCTCTTCCTTGACGTCCTTTGCTCCTGCATAGCCCACCTGGTGGGTCCCACCCTGGACAGTTTCAACTATTTCCTTGTTATCCACTCTCTCAGTTTCAGTTCTTCTTGCTCCAAAGCTCAGTTCCTTGGTCTGTTTCTGGACAGCATCAACCATCTCCTCATCATAAGCTTTTCTCTCAGTTTGGTTGCTCTTCATTTCTGCTGCAGGCCTCAGCTCCTGGCTTCTGTAGTTGACATTCTCAAGTGCTCTCTCCTCATGTACCACTGTCTCCGTTTCATATTGCTGGACTTCTGGATACTGGCCCCTCTCTTGTTCAAACACCTCACTGTGTTCAACGCTTTGTTTGAAATCTTCTAGAGAGAGAAAAGAAAAGAAACTCTCAGAACATACATAAGCAAAAAATGTTTTAAATTTTAATTGAGTTGTTAAAACAATTTGTCTTTGGGCTGATAAACGATTTTCAATTGCCCTGAAGTGTCCAGACTTATGTGTCCATCAGTGATGCAAAGCTTAAAGTAGTGCAATAAATTCAAAATAGATGGTACAGCTGTACCTAGTAAAAAGCCATAAATATGAAGCATGAAGCAACAAGGGGTATCATCACTCCCCCTGGATAAAATACCAGTCAGTTGTAAGCTTACCCTTAACATTTCAGCAGGTTTTCCTGACAATTCCCCAGTACCCATTCCTAATGCTGGTGAGAGACAGGCATAAAGTGTCTTTCCCAGGAACACAGCACATTGTCCCTGCCAGGTCTCAAACCCAGACCTCTCCAACCCAAGTCCGGTACACTAAACATTGGGCCCCCGTGTCTCCCAATAAAGGGACAACATTGGTGGCAAATCATTGCAATACAGTGCTAGTAAGTTAAAAAAATTAAGGGCAGAGCTTTGGTTTTCCCTTTTTCAGAAAACAAGTAGTAATTGTAATAATAATAATAATAATAATAATAATAATAATATTTAATATTCATATTGCACATTCTCTATAAAAATAATCAAATGTGCATCACAAACATAACAATAACTACAAAATAAGAACCTATTTACAATCACTATGAAAAATCTAAACAGTCATAATCTAAAATGTACTAACAAAATGCCTTGCTGACTAAAAAAATGTCAAAGTTTCTGTTTTAAATCAGTTTTGGTGCAAGCCGATCTAATGCTTCCAAAGCTGTGGCACTACCCCCGTGAAGGATGGACCTCCCATTATGATAGTAACTTTTGTGAAACATTTGTGGTGCTCAGAAGAATTCCCTTCAGTTGTTATTTTGCCATAAATCATATCTGGATGGCAGTAAAACAAATTAAATCATTGAGATATTTTGGAGCTGAGTGCTGAAGTACTTTAACAGTGATCAAAAAAAAGAATGTACCACCACAGGTCTTTGTTACTTGTGTTGCCAATATTATCATCCACATGCAAGTCTAACCAGAAGCCCAGATTTTTTGCTGAGTATACCTACTAGATACCTGCTTGCTCATGCCAATTGCCATAAACTCAGTCTTTATCGTCATAACTGTTTGCAGCAATTTTGTATTTAATAAATAGCCTCTTGTACGATGTAACAAAAAATTTGTGATACTAGCTCTCCAGAGGAAAAAACTGGAGTGAGGGGAAATTCAGGTATATCAACATCACCAACATTATACTTTCCTATGAGAGCTGGCTCTCAAATTGAAACCTGTACTTAGCCTGGAAAAGCTCTCTTTGTGAATTTATGATAAATCAAACACACCTTGTCTGCTTGGAAACAGTGTAAGCATTCTTTCAACAAGACAATTACATTGCTTCTCCAAGCTGTATTTTTCCTCATACTCTTGGCGAAGTTGCTTTGCTTCTGACAACTGATCTTCTGGGCTATTTTCTATGACTTTCTTTATCGACGCTGCCCAAACCTTGGGATCATTTGATTTAATAACATGTTTTGCTCCTGAGTGTAACTTCTTCAGAGCCATTCCAAGACCACAATTCTGGCTGACAAGTACTGGAAGGTCTGCAGAAATAGCACGGAGGTTGGTTGTGCCAAAGCCCTCTGTTCGTGATGGCATTATGATAAGATCAACTTCGCAAAGTAGCTTCTTCCAGTTTTCTAGGTCACTACTTTGGAAAGGTCGCACGGCAAACTGGTCCAGTTCAATCCCTTCTTTAAGGAGTTGCTCACTGAGTTCTTCTGTATCCTCGTCTGGGTTGACAATACAGATGAGATAACATGATACCTCCTGCAAAAATTTCATGGCCCTTGCCGCAATATCCAGCCCCTTTACTCTGTAATATTTTGCAAACCATGTTGCACTGATCAAGATGCGGAACTTTTCTCCAGGCTGGTGTATCAGTCGAACACCCACCAATTCATTAACAATCCCTGGAGTTAAATCAATGACATCATTGCTCTTTCCACAATGACGCAGTTCAGATCTGAAGGTATCAGCTACTTTGGGGCCAACTGCAATTATGCTGTCTGCCTTCTGACTCAGTTTGAGCTGTAGCTCGTGCTCTTTCTTCTGCTCATATTTCTGATCCATATATTTAGCAAGTTCTTCACTGATGGTATGGATAATATGAAACCACTTACATTTCTTGATTGTCCTTATGACTTGAGCATGTTTCCCCTCGTGAAGCCCATATGAGTGCATGATCAAAACATCAATTTCAAGATGGTCAGGTGGGAAAGACAAGCGTTCCTTCGGTGAAAAACCATCCAGTTCTTGGCCATCAAGAAGTTCAACAATTAACTCCCTAGCCTGTTCTTTCTGTTCTGGGGTGCTACTTGGCACAAGTCCTGTCACCTTTATTGTTGGATTTTTGGCAAGTTCAATAAGTAACTGTTTATTCACCAGTGTGTTCCATCCAATCACACCAGTAGCCAAAGTTATATTTAATTTACATTGCTCCATATTTTACTGCTGAGAAGCCAACTGTAAAAAAGGAGGAAAGAAAATAAATGTGATTAGAAAATTTCAATTCATCTACATTAAATTGGCAAGAGTCAATCAGGTCTAAAAATGAGCCAACAGGCTAATCCTACCAGAGCTTGTCTCAGTTCGGGGTATTATGTAACTAGCAGGTATTTGCTCAGGGGTGGATCCAGAAATTTTCTTGGAAGGAGGTGCACCACTATTACGAGTGATATGACTGACGGGCGATGGAAACAAATTTCAGTGAACAACAAAGAAGGCAGTGTTCTCTTTAACTGGTCATAAACAACAACACTATTTTTATATTTTCACTGTGTAAATAGTAGTTTTTCATAAAGTAATTAAGTCTTAACTAAATTAGGTACTAATAAGTATATATTTCATTATTTAAATTTTAATGCATATATTATTGAAGATTTTTAACCATGCATATTTTTAAATTTTACCACAACTTCTTGTAAGTATATATTAAACAATTCAGCTTGGTAACCACAATGTAATATTGCATGTTTGCATAATAAATCTATGTAATTATCTATCATAATAACGTAATGTGAATTGCTGGGAATACAAACAATTTTCATGGCATTGATTTAACATGAATTCTTGAACCTCATATGCTTAACTTCAACACCAACAAAACTGTTAGACAGTAATTATTAATATTCATTTAGAAAGCCACAAGTCATCTCAGGATAAGGGGGGTGCACACCCTCTGCACCCCTGACAGGTACCCTTGTTGCTACTTCCCCCTTCCCTCCCCCTCCAGGATGGGATGCTTGTCCATTTCAGGGAAACCTCCCAATATCATTTTTGTCAGGTTCCCTTGACAGTTTCACAGTACCCATAGATACCCTTAAGCAGAGATAGTGTTAGAGAAAAGTGTCTTTCCCTTAAACAGAGTTTAAAGCTTGAACCCTCAACCCTGATTCCAGAAAATTTTCATGATTAGATTAATGTATCCCAGATTGGCTGTGATTGGACAGTACTACATTTGATACCTAACAAAAAGGAAAATGAAAACTGTTTTCTAGATTTGAAATTAACACAGCAGTTGATTAGTTATCAAAAATTTGCTAGATGTATATATGATAATGGAGTGATAACATAATGCTTAAATCTTATGCATTCCTGATTCTTTTGAAGTACAAGTATCATTCAGACAACACATAAATGATAATAAACACATCCCTGACCTGAAAGCAACTCATTAAATAAATGACTATGTCCATTGCCAATAAATATTGATCAAAAATAAAACTGCACACTAGTGACTGGACTCTAACAGCTGGAATAAGTTCATGAGCGAGCAAAAGATGAGTAAATTTCACACCAAATTTGTTGATTTTTGTTTCTTATTTTTGATAAGGCATTTTCTTCTTTCTGTTTCATTGATTTGTTGCACTAGCTTCATTGCAAACTGAATCAGATCTGGGAGAATTTATATTAATTTTGTAGAAATTACCTGTAATGTAACAACTAATTTTATTTATAATTATTGACTCACTTTAGTTGAGATGACCTTCTTTTGTTTCCATTCCTGTCTCGCATGGAGTTGCTTCTGCTCTGCACTAAGCTTGTGCATCCCTGCAGGCTTCACTTTCATGGAAATATCGAGGAAGTGAAAGACCCAATGACAAGCTGGTTGCACTTAATCTCAGTCAGACCACTACAGAAGTCCACAAGAGGAAATTTTTGTTAATATACTAAAAATACAGCTCTTTGATGATGCAAATTGGCCACCATAAAGAGTGGTTTCAATGCTAATGTTTAAAGCATTAGCCCATCCTCAGAGCAAATGATGCTCGGATGCCTGTTTACTTCAGGGAAACCTCCCAATAACATTTTAGTCTCAGGTTTCCCTTGCAGTTTTCTAATACCCATAAATACCCCTGAGCAAGTAGAGATACTGTTTGACACTAGTATCTTTTACATAAAAAAGAGTTTGAAGCTGGACCATTCAGCCTTAATTTCATCATAAAATTATCATACTGTGATCAGGCTATTGTGTACCTGACTGGTCATGATCGGATACTTTGCTGAATGAAAACAATAATTCATTTTTAAATTTCTGAATTCACACTGCAGCATTGATCAAGACTTTATACTTGAAGGCGCACTATAAAGTTACTAGAAGAATATCACATGTCATGATGAAAATTAATACTACAGGCAGTGCATAGCGTACTGTGGGTGATTTTGGGGTCTAAAAGTCATTAATGGGAATACATATTATTATGAATGAATTTTAAGCGCAAGCGTGTGCCGTAAAAGGAGGAAAAATCATTTAAAAATTAAAAAAAAAAAATAGATAATGAAAAGGATAATAACAGCGAGGAATGTAACATTTTAGTCTCACTAACTTTCTTCCGTGGCCGCCTTGTCGCTTACGGTCATTTTCTTTGTACAGCATGTTGTACTACCATTATATTAAAAAATCAATAGAGAATGCTGGTCACTTCAAACGGTTCCGAACACCAACCGTCTATTAATCTAATATCAAAGCCCATCAGGTCGAACTACACGCACGGACTCCCCGGACAAAGTTGTCTTTGAATCCCGTGGTAAAGCCGTTGGCATTACGATTTAGTTAGAATAGGTGCTGAAACGGAGCGCCTCTAGATCGGGTCGATACAGCGGAATTTAGAGACTTTTGCAACTTGAACGGGTAGGTACTTGCCAATTCGCTTTGAGGGAGAACAGTTAACTTTTGTGGAATTTATTGGCCTTCGAGTGGCGATTAGTGTTCGGGACCGGTTGAAGTGACCAGCTTTTAATGCTTAATATCTATAATATGACGCGTTCGTCATTCATTTGGAGTATCTGTAGACGAAACATACACGACAATAAACACATTTGTTGACCTGAGAAAGTGATCGAATAATAACTACGTTTATTGCTTAAATATTGATCTAAAGGAAAACTGCTCTAGGTAAGACCGGCAACGCGTACGGTTGGAATCAGTTCATAAGCCAGCAAAAGATTAGTAAGGTTAAAACCGATTCTTTCATTTTCGTTGCTTACTGGGGAACCATTACGGTTAATTTTCCCCTTTCGATTTCGACGTTTGGTTAGATTAGATGTCTTACAAACTGGATCAAATCGGGAAGAAATTAAATTTGTAAAGAATTACCTGCAATTCAACAGCTTGCACACATTTAGGTCTTCTTTTTTCTCCATTCCTATCTTGGATTTCTGGAAACACTTCCTCGCTCAACGCTACACAAGAGCCGCATATTCACCCCCCGGATTTCACTTTCGAAGAAATTGAGGAAGTGAAAGATAAATAACAAGTTCACTTCCAGTGCTCTCTCGGTAGACCATTTTGACTGCGGTGCGCTTTAGAAGGAATAAATATGTAGCAGTATCTTATGTATACTGTAAGCTCGATCACCAGTTTGGGAACCGGATCAAGAAAACTGACACAGGAACCAACAACTTGGTGTGCAAGATTTGGTGTGCATATGTTAAACATTTACTAAAATTTCACAGATATAAATATAATGCATGAAAACTTTACATAAAAAAGCTTATCATTTTCACAAAAACAGACCTTTCGCTTTAATAAAACTACGAAATTATACACACACACGTATATATGTATATAAAAGAAATCTACCAACCTAATTATATAAGGCTACTCTTTTTGTGTAGTTTCCTCTTAGTGCATTTTATTGTACAATATATTTATATTCTAAAAATTTCAATGGCAAATATTTCATAATAATTTCGATATATCAACAAAGTTGAAATGGTAAATTGGCCACCGTAACGATTACAAAAGCTGACGTTTCGAGCGTTAGCCCTTCGTCAGAGCGAATAGAGGAATTGTGGGTTGTGTGTGCTTTTAAAGGCAGAAAATGGAGCTACGTTATTGGTGGGAACATGGCAACGAGAAAAACAAGAATAAATTAGTGGAANGAATAAATGGAGGTCCCGTCTCCTGCAGGGTTGGGGTAGGAGACGTTAATTTCCCACACACGAGATTACTGTGTGATGGATGTCCTCCCTTTGGGTGGGACGGGTGGGAAGGTGAGATCGATAGACTGAAGCGGCTGCCAGAGGTGCCTGATATGCTGACGTCTGTTCTCAACCTTACACTGCACCTGTAATTCAGCCTGTGGGCTGCAAGTGGTCAGATATAAACTATATTCATTCATATTCAGGCTTGTGACAGATCAGATATTACAACAATTTCAGTTTGTTTACTAGCCAAACTGGCTTGTGGAAATAAAAAACCACAAGCCAAAACTGAATTTCTACTAGTCTGTGGCTAGTGGGCTACTGTTAGTGTTGAGCCCTGCATAGTTGTGCTTTTCAATTCCCATGAACTTAATTATCAGATTTATAAGAACTTTCATGTGTGCTCAAAGTCACCCTATGCATGATTAATGACTTACTGCAAAAAGACTCAAATTCTAAATTTGAAATCTAAAAGTTTGTACAACACTGCTTATCAGTCTTTTCCTACTCCACCACAAGTAATTAAAAACAGTTTTTGTCCTGTAATCTTTCCTATTTTTGTACCTTTTATCTTGATATTTTTACATTTTCTGATTAAGTTTGATAATTTACCCATAGAGAACACCCTTCACATTACTTGTGCAACCGAATATATTTCAAAATGTCAATCATAAGACTTTTAAGTTGAGTTTATCTACAGTACATAACACTAGAAAAACTTCCTTCTTCCCACCAAACCACTCTAATACTATACATCATTCAGTCTTTCTAACTAGTTACTTATTTTTTGTTTTCAACCAGTCTTCTAAAATGGTTGCAACATCCCATCTTCCCATTTCATCATCTTTGAGTATCATTATGAGCCATTCCACAGTTGAATCAGGATTTGCATGCCACAATTGAAAAAGTTCATAAGTAGGATTGTTTTTCTGTTCTAAAACTTTTGTAAAATCTTTATCAAATCCCATTTTCTCTCCAAGCAGGCGGAAATCTTTGAACGACAAGTCATCCTTTATGTTTAGTTTCATGCAGACTTTACTCAAAATAGCATAAGGAATGTCTTTAGCTTTGACAGGCTGAGGTGTCTGATCCTTGTTTGCATTATTATCATTAACACCATCCAATGCTGCTCTTACACTATCCACCTGATCAAATCCACCATTCACGTCCTTTGCTACGGCAATATGCATATGGCCCACCTCCTGGGTCCTACCCTGGACAGTTTCAACCTTTCTCTTGTTATCCCTTCTCTCATTTTTAATCTTTCTTTGATCAAGGCTCAATTCCTGGGTCCCTTTCTGGACAGCATCAACTCTCTCCTCATTAGAAGCTTTTCTCTCAGTTTCTGTTGCAGGCCTCAGCTTCTGGCTTCTGAGGTTGACATTCTGGGGCATTCTCTCCTCATACACCATTCTCTCGGTTTCATATTGCTGGACTTCTGGATACTGGCCCCTCTCTTCTTCAAACTCCTCACTGTGCTCAACACTTTGTTTGAAATGTTCTGAAGAGAGGGAAGAAGAGAAACTCTTAGAACTGACACACAACCAAAAGCATTTTAAATTTAAATTGAGTTGCTAGAAACAATCTACATTAATTTTAGGCTAATAAATTATTTTCAATTCCCCTAAAGTGCCCAGGAGGGGAGCATTGGGATTTTTTGTATTGTGGTTTTGGCTATTTTTTAGATTGCTTTTGCAGTTTTGGTGTTTATTGGAGTTTGCAGATTTTCTATTTTTTAGCATATGGTTTTTGATTTTTGTCAAAAATGTTAACAAGTTTTTGGATTTAGTATATCCCATGTGGTTTTTCAGTTTTTACCACAGTGACTTTGGTTTCTTGTTTCTCTTCAACCTGAGCAGCAATTATGTGCCTCCACTGTTCTCTAATGGCCACGAAACTTTTGTATGCTCCCCTCATTACCATAGTGACTGTATCAGATTGAGTAGAATTTTGATAACAAGGATGTGAAAATATCTTGATTTTGCACACAGTTTTCAGTTTTGATTTATTTTCTTGTGGCTTTGGATGATTTTAGCCACAGTTTTGCAGTTTCGAAAGGACCCCAATGCTCCCTTGTCCAGACTTGAGTACAGCTGTACATTCAAAATACATTGTACCTACATGTAGTAAACAAAAATAAACATGAAGCGTAAAGTGACTAAGGGTATTACAACCCCCCTCCCCTGCCTGGATAGAATGCCAGTCAGTAGTAAGGTTACCCCCAGTATTTTATCAGCCTTCCCTGACAATTTGCTGGTATCCATTCCTTACTCCTGGTGAGAGACAGGCACAAAGCGTCTTTCTCAAGAACACAACACATTGACCCTGCCAGGCCTCAAACCCAGACCTCTCCAACCCAAGTCCAGTGCACTAAACATTGGGTTACTGTGTCTCCCAATAAAGGGACAACATTGGTGACAAAATAATGATTGCAATACAGTGCAAGTCAAAAGTAGTTTGAGTTAAAAGCATCAAGAGCAGAGCTTTTAATTACTTTTCTCTTTTTCAAAATACTTGTAGACTTTATGTAATTGTTTATAATACTTTTGTATTTAATTTGTTGTGGGTTACAACTGCATTAAGGCATTTGTAAGCATTTTATTGAATGATATATTATGCTACTGAAATTGCATTGCCTCTTGTATATGTACAATGTAGCAAAAAATTTGAGATACCAACTCACCAGAAAAAACATAGAATAAGGGCAAATTCAGGTAAATCACCACCACCAACATTGTTGAGATATCAATTAAAACCTGCTCTTACTAATAGCCTAGAAAGGCACTCTTTGTGAACTATATTAAATCAAACACACCTTGTTTGCTTGGAAACATTGTAAGCATACTTTCAACAAGATCATCACATTGTTTCTCCCAGCTGTATTTTTCTTCATACTCTTGGCGAAGCTGCTTTGATTCTGACAACTGATCTTCTGGGTTATTTTCTAGGACTCCCTTTATCCTTTCTGACCATACTTTGGGATCATTCGATTTAACTACATGTTTTCCTCCCGAGGGTAATTTCTTCAGAGCCATTCCAAGACCACAATTCTGGCTGACAAGAACTGGAAGGTCTGCAGAAATAGCACGGAGGCTGCTTGTCCCAAAACCCTCCGTTCGTGAAGGCATAATGATAAGATTCACTTCACACAGAAGCTGCTTCCAGTTCTCCAGGCTATTTTGAAAATGTCGAACAGCAAACTGGTTCAGGTCAATCCCTTCCTCATGGAGTCGCTTACTGAGGACTTCTGTGTCCTCATTTGGGGTGACAAGAAATATCAGATAGCAATCTACCTCTTGCAAGAGTGAGATTGCTTTAGCGGCAATGTCAAGCCCTTTTACTTTGTAATACTTGGCAAAATATGTTGCACTGATCAAGATGCGGAAGATTTCCTCAGGTTGGTGGTGTAGCCGAATATCTCGCATTTCATAGATGATGCCTGGAGTTAAATTAATGACATCCTTGCTCTTTCCACCATAACGCAGTGCAGATCTGAAGGCATCAGCTACTTTGGGGCCAACTGCAATCACAGCATCTGCCATGTTACACAATGTAAGTTGCAGTTCATACTCCTTCTTCTGTTCATCTTTCATGGGAATGTCCATAAATTTAGCCAGTTCTTCACTGTTGGTATGAATGATGTGAAGCCATTTACAGTTCTTAACTTCTTTGATGTTCTGTGCATGTTTACCTTCATGAAGCCCATACGAATGTATAATCAAAATGTCAATTTCAAGATTGTCTGGAGGGAAAGACAGCCGTTCTTCTGGTGAAAATCCAGCGCGCTCTTTGGCGTCAACAAGTTCAACATTTAACTTTTTGGCCTGTTCTTTCTGTTCCTGGGTGCTGCTTGGCACAAGTCCAGTCACCTTCACTTTTGGATGTTTGGCAAGTTCAATTACCAACTGGCCATTCACTGTTGTGTTCCACCCTACAACACCAGTGGCCAAGGTTACATTTAATTTACCTTGTGCCATATTTTACTGCTGAGAAGCCTGTTCTAAAACAGGAGGAAAGAAAAAAAAGATATGATTTGTAAATTCTAAATCAACTTTGTTTTCCAGATTCAGGTCTAAGCGTGGGTAAACAGGCAAATCCTGCCAGAGCTTGTCTCGTTTTCTGGGGCACTATGTAATCAGGGGTATTTGCTAAAGGGTACATGTACATCCAAGTTTTTTGCTTTGAAGTTAAGGAGGTGCAACATTAAGGAGTGATGTAACTGACAGGTCATGAAAACAAATTTCAAAAGCAAACAACATAACTAAGAAGAAAGCTTACGAATAGGCAATGACATAAAATGAAATGCAGAGAATTCATAGAATTTTGTTGGTGTTTAACATAATTCATTCAACCCCATCTCATGTTTTAATTGAACACCAATAAACTATGCCAGTTAATTATGAGAAAGCACAAATCATCTCAGAGTAGGAGGGTGCACACTCCCTGCACCCCTCCCCTAGATCCACCCCTAGTGCTAATACCCCCTTCCCTATCCCTGGCCCTTTCAGGCTGGTAGGCATGTTCACTCCGGGGAAATCTCCCAATATCATTCCAGTCTGGTTTCTTTGGTAGTTTTCCAATACCCATAAATACTCTGGGTAGGTAGAAATACTATTTAGCGAAAAGAGTCTTTTCCAAAAAAAACAAAGTTTGAAGCTGGACCATTCAGCCTTGATGCCATCACATTATAATGTGATCAGGTTATCATGTACAAGACTCAGGCCACAATTGAATAGCTGACAAAAGGCAGAAGGAAAACAAAGGTCTAATTTTAATTTTTCGAATTCACACTACAGCACTGATCAAGACCTTAACCAAAGATCAATTTATTACATGAACATCGTGTCAGCATGAATTACTCAAGGCATGCATCTGAGTGAGTAAACTAACGGTTTTGCCACTGTTTCCTCAGCTCACCAAGCTATAGTAATTTTGAGCCCACAGAAGCTTGAAATTTAGTGGTCAAAATTTCGCCAGATGATGAAAGTGACGATATGCTAAAATCTTGCTTGTTCGTGATTCATTTAGAGAATCATTTAGACGAAACAGACACGGTGATAAACAAATGTGTTGACCAGTTGAGAAGGAAACTGGTCATTTTGCCTGCAAGTCGTTTCACCTGCAAGTTGTTTCGCTGACACCCAGATCGATTCGCCTACATGATCTCAGTTGTTTTGCCTACATGATCTCAGTTGTTTCGCCTACACTGAACCGTTTCATATAAGCATAAGTAAATCTCGGTAATGTATTGGTATCGGCTAAGTGTCGGCTCAGAACACCACAACTTTTCAACCGAGTCCCAAATCCCTTGCAATAAGTTTAGGTTTTTTAGGTACCAAACCCCTTGCAGTCAAGGAGCAAAAATATTGCATAAATAAAACAAAGTCAAGAAGGCAACTGCTTCATTCACGTCAACAAGCATCGCATTTAGTCGAAGACATCGATACGAGAAGAGCGCACACTTTTTCACTCAAAGTGTTCGTGTGCAGTAACCTGTGAAAGATCACGTCGAAAACATCTCTTCAATTAAGCGCTAACGTGTTATGAAACTGGCAAAAAAAACAATAGGTAACATTAGTCGCACCTTCCATTAAAATGCCGCTAGTAAACAGCATTCGTTTTATATCTATGAAAGTTTTCGCTTCGTGCTTGATTAAAAGAAACAAGTAGTGCCATAATATGTGCTTCTGCAAAAGCTTGAAAACATGTTTTAAACAGTACATTTCAACAAGGATTGCTGACTGTTATCCATTCAAAGAAGAAAAATGTCACCTCCTTCATAAAATGCCGCGCACTTGACTAAAAACAAACATCTTAATGGGGTACGTTATAATGCACTCGTTGTGCGAAACTAGAAACAATAGCATCGATTAACAAGGAGTTTGTTGGAATTCAGTTTAAAACTATCATAGTTCTGTGGAGAGAAATTTACACGCGCAAGACATGTTATTCTTTTAAAGAAAAAAGTCTCACCTCAACGTAATGTTAAATCTTATTTTTTATAAAATGCCGCACGCTCTATTAAACTGAGAGAAATCACTCAAAGAGCGTATAGGACGCGCTAACACGAACTGCAATGTATTATAAGGCGATTTCATTGGTAAACGTATCAAAGCTGATATGATCAAATGTGGTAAAGTGTGAATTATACCAATAAAAAGGCAAAGGTCAAGCAAGGGCGATGTTGTTGCAGTTAGTTGAGGTGTTGTTTTACTGTCGGTCAACTGTAGGTTACCTGTTGGTATACTAGCATACTAACAGTCGGTATACTTGCATACCGAGATTCGCCCGACAAACTTTTGGGGGAGCTCTTCTTCACTGTTACTCCATTACATTTTATAATTCCAAAATTTTAGTATTCTTTTTTCTAAGATATCTTCAAGAGAAGAGTCGTTGGGTGCCCCTGTTAAACTGATTAGGGTTGAACATTCATTTGACGAAAAACACGCGCTCGAATGGGTTCAGAAGGGTTTCAAGTGAAAACAAAGGAGGGTTTACCTCTCAGAAAACACTTGTTTGTGCTAAAAAGCAGATATTAAATTTAACGGTTAAGATGAATTTAAAGTGATGCTCTTTAATGAATTAAATCAATGTTCTTGAGTATAAAAGCTTGAACACTCCTGATACAAGCCACTCGATCACTGATCGCATAATCAACGTGCTTCAATCTGTCAAAAAAAAGCCTTCAGTCGTTTGAATTTCCAATCATGTATGTCACAAACTCTTCAAGAATGGCTGACAAGTGTATCGAATGTAACAAAACCGTCTCTACAAGACAACAAGCCATCCAATGTGATGACGGTTTTAAATGGAACCACAGAACCTGTAACACCGGTAAGTGTCATCTTCTTCAGTTCTTGTGCACTTCTTAATTGAATTCTCTATATGTTGCTTACCTCACTCTTTAATCATTTCACAGGCATTTCCCAACAACAGTATAGAGAAGCTGTCAACGCGGGCACAGAAATATATTGGCTGTGTCAACCCCATCGACCTGCTGGGCCAGTTTCAGAGAGCACAAGAATCTCATCGGAGTCATCAGCTGCCATTTTAGACTCTTCTGAGTTTAATCTAACTTGACATGCCTTCATGGTAAATCTTTTTCCCGCGATAAGAATGGCCACTCGCGCGAAAAAAGAAATCTGGCTAAGCGATTTACTCACGCTATCAGCGTACACTATCGGGATTTTGAGCACGCTTATGTATACTGAATTAGATTGCGTGGCTCTGCTAGCTATGTTCTAATTTCCTTCCTTTCTTTCTTTCTTTCTTCTTTCATGAACTGTATAAAAACTTTCCCATTTTTTTGTCATTTTCTTAGTTTAATTACCCTTGTTTTATGTTTAAGGACTTTTTGACTGGTGATAAAGCATCGCTTCCCGACCCGCAAATCCAAACTGAAACCCAAGACGACCCAAGTACGGTAAGTTAGGTATACTAACCTGTCCTATCAGTGGGTAAATCTCCCACAATTAATTTAAATTGAGTTTCGTTTTACAATCAATTTTTTTAAGTAACGCAAAACGTCCGTTTTCCAAACCAAAAAGAATTTTGAACTGTAAGGAAAAAATGTTAGGAATTATAATCAGGTTTTCGTTTGACGCCAAACATCCATTAACAAGTAATGAAGTGTTGATATGAAAAACTTGCCTATCTTGTCATTTTCTTAATTCTAATTGAGTTTTTTTTTTAAGGATTGGAGAGGGTGTAAACATCATGGATTCAGATTTCCTTGGTAAACGTATCAAAGCTGATATGATTAAATGTGGTAAAGTGTGAATTATATCAATAAAAAGGCAAAGGTCAAGCAAGGGCGATATTGTTGCAGTTAGTTGAGGTGTTGTTTTACTGTCGGTCAACTGTAGGTTACCTGTTGGTATACTAGCATACTAACAGTCGGTATACTTGCATACCGAGATTCGCCCGAGAAACTTTTGGGGGAGCTCTTCTTCACTGTTACTCCATTACATTTTATAATTCCAAAATTTTAGTATTCTTTTTTCTA